GTGGCGTTGGGCTTTCATGGAGTGCTATTTGGTTAGTCAATAGTGGTGCTTCTTGAAGCATCGCTATTGGCCTTATCCAGTGGTGCCACGAGGAAGCAGGCACTCGATGGCTGCATTTCTCCATCGTCCCGTAGAAAAGTTAACTACCTACAGAGCAGGCGTATTAAGCGAGTGTGCAAGCAAGCAATCTAAACTACAAAGCAATGGCCAAGCTACAACCAACCCGACCACTATAGCCTGAAGTGGCTGAATTCAATCCGTGATCCTGTTGGCAGAATAGCACGTTGGACAGTTCGACTCCAACAGTATGACTTTGAGGTCATTCACCGAAAAGGGAAGGATAATGTAGTCCCGGACATCCTGTCTCGTGCCATTCCACCGGATCCTATTAGGCTAGAAGTGATAAATTGCCTCCCCACTAAGGACAAATGGTACCTGCGGATGCGCGACCAAGTACGCAAGGAGCCTCGGCGTTACCCCTTGTGGCGAGTATCAAACGATCAGCTCTTCAAACGAATGAAGACTCATTACTCTGATCTGCAGGATAAAGCTGATGGCTGGGTGTAAGTTCTGCCGAAAGAACAACGCTCTGATATTATTCGGCAACACCGCGATCCTCCTCACTGTGGTCACCTAGGTGTTTACAAGACCATGAGCCGCATTACTCAAAAATTCTATTGGCCCAAGTTGCATGCTGATTGCGTCAACTATATCCGTCGCTATATTACCTGTATCAGCACCAAGCCAGACCAAAAGAAAGCCATAGGACATATGCGTAGTCAAACCTCACTGAATAGCTGTCCTTTCGAAGTCCTGTCCATCGACCTGGTTGGACCTTTACCCCGTTCTGCCTCTGGTTACTCGTTTATCTTTTCCGTATGTGACGTTTTTAGTAAGTTTACCCTGTTCTTTCCTCTTCGTAGAGCCTTAGCTCGTGTGGTGTCTCAGACCCTCGAAGACCAAGTTTTTATGGTTTTCAGAGTTCCTCGTCGAATTATTTTAGATAACTGCGTTCAGTTCCAAAGCGAGGAGTTTCGTGAATTGTGCACGGAATACGAAGTAGAATTATGTATATAAATCAATAAAATGGGTCCATTAAATAAATTCATAAAATATCCATTTTTATCAAACATATTTTGTAGTAAAATATAAGATAATATTTTGTAATAAAATATAATCTCACCTGGAGTATATTCAATTATAATTAATACCTTAATAAATAATTTAAAATATAAGTAAATATATTTCGCTACTTTGAACAATAACTCTAGCTCATTTAATTACTAAAAAGCATTATTTTTATTGTTATTGTTTACATGTCGATTTTAACTACTTCAGTTGTCAGATTCTTCTAAATTTATAAATATTGACCACAGTCTTACCAGAAATTATCCTATTACCCTTTTGTAGTCAGGGCCTTCTTGCTAAGACATTGACTTTTGTTGGCCATTTTGTGGAACTTCCTTCCTGGCCCAGTTTTTGCTTGGATTCTGATTGTGGCATGTGCCAAGATTTCAGCTGGGATTTTCTAGGATTTATTCTTGTGCAAAAACCATAGATTCCTTTAGTCCGATATATTATTAGTGATCTTTGTGATTCATACACCTAGTGGTGGATATAGTATCGGGCTAAAAGTGTGAATAAATTAATAACTAAGAGGTCACATACCATCAAGGGTGAGTTTTTCAAAACGAATTATTATTTCACTTACCTATATTCCCAACAGCCTTCTGTATACATAATAGTTATAATCGTCAATGTTTTTCAGACCTCCTTGGTTCGCTCCTTTCATTCGTGCGTTCCTTCCTTCGCTCGTTCAGATTTACAATTCTGTGTAAACGCTTTTATTAGAGGAATACTTCTAAGGACTCTGTGCAAGTTCTCTCCACCTCCCCATATTGAATAGGGCTTCTCCACTTCACCGTTTGCGTGCCAGCAACAAAGTACAGACAATTAGATAACCCCACCGAATACGAAGTCATTTTCAGAGCAGATTTCAAGAGGAAGCTGCCTAACTGGACATCGTGCTTCGTTGAGTTCACTTAATCACCACAAGTAAGACGGTTCCTTTTTTTTAACCCTATATTTCGGAGGGCCCCCATCTACTCACGAGGTTAGGTTGTTTGAGACTCAACCTACAACAACCATATAGTTAAAGACTTGTTTAAATAGACTCAATTTCTTTCGTATATGTATATATTTAAATTGTAATATCCACCTACCGGTTTAGTTTTTTTTTCTTTTTGTAATACGAAGAGTAATCTACGTAAATCGCATTTTAACCACCCACTTGAAGGGTTATATATTATAAGGGTATTTAATTTAGAGGTAAGAATAGTTGTGGAAACACACCTTGTACATAATAATTTTCTTTCTTTCCGAATAGTCGACATTGCGTATAAATGTAAATTTGTTGGTTATAATTTTGACAACGATCGAGGTTATAAGAGAATAAAGGCCCGTTCACATTCTATCTATCAATCAATCAATCAATCTTTTTTTTCTTCTTTCTATTTTCAGGAACCCCCCTGAGGTTACTGGTCCTGATTGGGGGAGAATTTGAACCCCTTTATCAGGCTACCCGTAATAAGCCCCCATACTCCGATGTGCCGACTTCAACATACCGATCGTATTACAAACCGATGCTTCAGACCTAGGACTGGGGCTGTCATTAACCCAAAAGAAGGATGAGATAGATTATATAATTATATAATTATATATGCTCGTAGAATACTGACACCGCCCGAAAAAAATTTCGTAACTGAGAAAGATTGTTTAGCCATAGTGTGGGAAATAGAGAAAATGCAACCCAGCTTGGAAGATTACCGTTTTACTGTCCTTATCGACCATCAGTCACTTAAACGGATGCACTCAATAGTAAGTCCGTCAGGCCCATTAGCACGTTGGAATATTTTTCTTCAAGAGTACGACTTTGAAATAAAATACTACAAAGGAGTCCTTAACCGAATAGCCGATGCCTTGGCCCGAAATCTGCAGCCGAACCTCGCTGAAACATCTAGCACTACCGAAGTGTGTGTCCTAAATGGAAAAACTGAATGCATTGAAGTGGAAAGAAACCCTTTGGAATACCCCGACTATTGCATTAAGAATGGACATCTGTACCGCCACTTTTGGGATATCAACGACTATTAAAGGGTCTAAATTGTCCGATCCGTGTAAACTGTGCGTTCCCAAACCGCAGAAAGACAGAGTCCTGAAAGAGAATCATGATGCCCCAAATGCAGGACACGCCGGTATTGCAAAGACAATTACCCGAATAGCCCGACAGCCGAATAGTACAATGCAAAGCTGTCAGAGCCGCTACAGCACAGCGTGAGTATCGTGCTATACGATGACGTAATTTACTTATGGTTGTCCGATCGAGATAGTTACCGATAATGGTACGGCAATTAACAAGTAAATTGTTTGACTTAATTTTGGAAGAGCTAGGTATCAAACACCGTTGTACCCGGGCGTACGTAAGCTAACCTTGTTGAAAGGGCTAACTGTACCATTAAAACGATGATAGCCCAGTTTTGTGAGAAGAATCACCAGTATTGGTATCTGCACCTGTCTGATCTTGTTTGCTATAAACACATCCCATCATGAATACACCGGCTACACTCCCGCGTTCCTGATTTTTGCCAGAAAACTTTCGGTTCCAAAAGCTCCAAGACAAGAAGTTGAGGGAGAACAACCTGCATCTAATCCCGAAACTACCAAGGTTCTCGAATATTTCTTCAAACGCATTGACAAGCTACAATAATGCTATGAATTAGCCCGATTGAACCTTTTCAGAGCATTCACTTCCCAGAGTCATTACTACAACTTACGTAGACTGGAAGTGTACCGTCAGGGATCGGGTTATGAAAAAGAAACACTTCCTGTCGTCTGCAATAGACCGATTCGCAGCGAAAGTAGCCCCGAAATAATCCGGACCGTTGTCAAAGTTGTATCTGCCGTAGTCTTCAATCTAAAAGATGGGTCTTGAAAAAGGCTTAGTCAGGTACATAATAAAGATCTGAAACCCGCAGTAGATAGCAACTAGTTTAACTTCCACAACGCACAATTTTCCGATATCTTGCATTAAGAGGTCCTGGTCTCCGATACCGGTAGGATAACCACTGAATAATAAAAGGTTTCGCCCAGCCGATGTTTACCTTCCATTACAAAATAAGCTTTGCGGGAAATGTGAAACTTCTGGTCACCGTCGCGACGCGTCGTGACGTTTATACCAGAAAACTCCAGTTATTTTGCCCTCATTGTGGCTTGGTTGGTATTATATTCTGAGATTGCATTTGCAACAAAACCGCCGCCAAACAATCGACGCCACTCACCCACTCTGTTGTCACTCAGACCAATAGAACCGCACACCGAAATGTCGGCGTCCAGTGCCGACGCAGTTGAGAAGCCTACTATGATGTCAGACACAGGTTCCGAGGGTTAAATCCAAGAACTTGGGGGGCTTATAAATAAAATATTTAGTTAAAATATAATATCAACCGCAACGTGTGTTCGTTGACGTATTTCAATATATGTATTAAACTTAAACATAACTACCGCAATATCGTTAAAACTCTGGAATTTTACTTTTTTTCACAGCAGCTACCTGCTGCCCTTTTTGGAACTTGTTCACACTGGCACTCGAGCACACCCAGTTTGAACGCCACAAGTGAGAGTATTTCTAACTAGTTGAGAAAACCTCTCACACTACAATACCAATTTTCAAGTTCTTACCTTTAAAAAACCTATACTCCAATACAACTTACGGATAAAATAGCAAAACAGCTTGTTTAAACGTAGTCATAATTTGGTCTAGTGCATACAAAATAGAGACGCGATTGTGGCGTACTACATACGGGTTCAATAAAAACACACACACGCCCTGCACACAATAAATTATGTCGTCATCTACGTTACCTAAACCAGATAGACGAATCTTCTACATCAAATGCAACATGCCCAAAATATAAAATAATTTCGTATTTTTATCATTTTAGCTAGATTCTACCAAAACAATATTAGAAGAATCAACGATCTGTACTTTTATGCAAAATGTAGAACAATGTACAAATGTTTTAGTACCCATTATATCAGATCATGGAATATGTTATACATTTAATATGTTAAAGAGAGAAGACATATACAAACCAAAAGT